TTTACTAAAAATAAATACACTAGCACTGATAAATGATTTAAAATTGCCTTAGTCTTTTATGCATTGAATTCTTGTTATGCTATCATGAAAATAAAATGTAATCTTTAGAAATCTGACTTTTTATGTCATATTTGCTTTAATAGTAAATAAGTTGATATGGCTTTAGTATTCCATCAAGCCCATGTGTTCCCCTATACTCTTGCTTTAAATCAGTGATCTCCAAAGCATTTAAGCAATTGGGCGCAGCACCCACCTGAGATTTTGAAAATAGGCTTGCTTGTACCCACCTGAAAATCCATTTGCACCCACTTAAAAATGAGAAAAATCATAAAAGCTTGCATATTTTGACCAATTTTGGTCTGAATTGTGAAAATGAGAATTTTGCAGACACCTGAAAAAAATCCTGGGGAGATCACTGCTTTGAATGCTGGTGAAATCAACAGCAAAGGGTGGGAGGGGGAGCAGAGGCTTAGTGCAAAACTATACCCAATGGTGATGACATGCTGTGGTACACAATGCACAGATGATAATGGTTGTAGCATGATGAACATTATTTATGCTTTGTTTTTACAATAGCACATTCAATTTATTATTTACATCAATTAAAATCATTGCACAATCTCCTATTAGTTCACATTTTTATACAATTAAGCCTCACATCACGATTGACACATTTTTCTCGAAATCCAAAGATTTTTGAGAGTTTACATGATAAATGAAAATACAACACTCTCAATATGAATTAGGAAGGAATATGAAATCTGAGACCAAGTGAGTAAAAATACAAAGTAGGGTAAACACATTTGTATATATATCATATCAAATATAGTGAAGAATGGTCTCTTCTTTAAAACTAAAATACATCTGAAATTATCAACCTTTTATACATGATCTAGAAGTTACCTGTACAAGCATAGGAAATACTCTTACATGTTTCATGTTACAAGGTTCATTGAAAAACTAAATATCAACTTTTATTATGGCATTTTATCACAACTTTGGTGGGGACTTGATGTGTTTGGACTAAATATTCAGTATAATATCAATATACTCCTAAGTACTACACATACTATAAAGAATAACTCCGATCAACCAAATGTCTTTGTCAAAGAGAAGGAATTAACATCTAATATGTTTTCCCTTACTTTCAATTCAATACTAAAGCATACTAGTTTCTTACCTAAACCAGTTGTACAATATAACTCAACGTTGTACATTTGTATAGAATTTTATTCTAGCCTAAGTATCATATTATCTAGAAGTATTTACACCTGTTTTCTTTATACATTTGACACATAACCAACGAACCATGACTTACAACATAAAATTTCTTGTGCTGCCATCTCTCAATAAAATTTCTGTACATTTCTACACCAACATGTACTGCCATCTTTCAATTGACGACCACACTTTCTGTACATTACTACATGAACTATATGTACAAAGGACAAACATGAAAGATTATTGTATGAAGAGAACCATTTCGATTGAAAAATATGATTTATAAGCTGCACAGTGGACATTTGTGTTTAGTCTCAAAAATGGGGGTATTTTCAAATATTTGTTTTTGTTTTTATATTTTGTTTTATAGGCCTAAAAAAGCTCTATATAATACACTTTAGCTGACTGGTCAATTGTTTCAATTTTAATGAGATGTCATCAGACCCATTTTTCCAGAACACAGCTATTATATGAACAAATTATATACAGAGAAGGTATGGACAGTAGGTAAATTTCATATTTTGAATTATCAATTCCAAAATGGCAGCTATTGCCTTGTCAGTCTGATGAACACTGATTTTGAAACCCATGTAATTTAATGAATTGAACAATGAAGGTGAACATACAAGGTGTGGTATAATTGCTTGATTAAGTACTCTTTACTTATGCATATAATATATATATATACACTGATTTTGAAACCCATGTAATTTTTAATTTAATGAATTGAACAATGAAGGTGAACATACAAGGTGTGGTATAATTGCTTGATTAAGTACTCTTTACTTATGCATCAAACCCTATTTGGGAATTCTTAACAGATTTTTACAATGTTAAACTCAAAACTTACGATCTTTGCAGTGTCTGCATTCTCACTAAACACTCATTGAATAAGCATGCAAGCCAAGATAGGGACACGAGATTAATGATGCAAAATTAAAGAATTCACAGCAAAGACAGTTAGGCTAAAAACAGCACATGTTTGTTGTTCTTGGTCACCCTGTAGTTACAATGGATCATGCTAATTAACAATCCTCAATAACACTGATTGATATCTGAGTGGCAAATGGCACATTTCAATCACTTTAATACCCCATCATCAATTAAGCCCACACCCTACCCACCTAGTACATGTCACATGACAAGTTCTAACCATCAACATCGAGTAATAACAAGACAAAATGCCAAGAATGATGGGATGTAGGCAGGTATGTCTGAACAGTTTGACTAATAAGATATCTTGACGACTGCATTAATCAATGGAATGTCACCATTGTCTGGACAGTTACAAAATGTAGACTAATCGTGTGTAAAATCCTTACAATTGTTTACATTTGATTAAAATTAAAATAAGTACCCTATCATACCAATTTGGCATTGATGCCACAGTATATCAAGATACATACAATGGCAATATCACAAGGGATTAATAATAGCACAATTTAGAAGTGTTAATATGAAAGGGTATCTCTATCATGTCAATGATCGTTACATTGCTCTCATTAATCAACATGCTTACTGGCAGATACAGGCAGGCATTATACACAATTGAGACACAATCATTTGAAAAGTATTTCAAAGCACTTAAAACACCAATAATCCTGGCTGTTATGAACCTTATTCAATGTATTTTTACTCTGTGGTGGAGTCAGGGTGCAACATAAAAACAACCAAGTCAAAACAATAACCAGTGAATTTCTATATGGACCAGCTGAAATCTTCAACACCTATGGGAAAACAACTAGTTCCTAATGCAATTTTGACCTCCACAAAATGATTACAGACCAGTTGTTTACATACTAGTTGTTTACAAATGAGAAAATCAGCTGGTCCAAACAGACATTAACTGTATCTATCCCTGTGCTGAAGTGTAGGTTGCACCCTGGTTGGGGTCTCATCGTTTACGGCGACATACTCGCTTGTGTTCCTTGTGCCAGTGGTCTTGCTGGCATTTGATACTACAGTAGCTAGTGTTCCAGCAACAGTGGTACATGGCCTCTTCATCACAGTGGAAACACTACAACCAACAAGCTAAATTACATATAAACGGGACAATAGTGGTATACTGTAGTGGAAACACAACAAGAATCAAGACTCAGACAAAAAAAGGAAAGTGGCAACAGATCCTTCACCATAACACAGGAACCAATTCCATAAAATGAGGTTGAACATTCCAGTAAAGTTAGGACAGTTAAGTTAGAGTCAAAGTACTGTAGCAAACAGTCTCAAGTACAAATAAATTACAAAATACAGAAAATCAGCCTCAATGATTACAATGCTATCTGAACTAAATGGTGCCAAATCAAGCAAAAAGCTCCTCCACCTCTTACAAAACAACTTATATGAAACAAACAATTCACAATTTAATGAAAAACTTGAGTTTATCACAATATGTAAACTTATTATATCTGATCGGTGATATCAAAAGTAACATCAGTCCAGAAGTTAAAGGTTTCTCTAATCTGATTGGTTCAAACTTATTACGTTACACCAATCAGATTCCATGTAAATTTACATAAAGTGAAACCTCACTAGTTTTACTCATAAAACCATTCACCTACAAAATGAAACATATTCCTGTGGTCTCTGTACTTTAACAAGGCCCTGACAGAGTATTGACTTATACAGGTTGATAAGAAACTAAAAAGTACAATATCGAAAAGAAATTCTTAATGATAGATAAGAAAATCACAAAATTTAAAACAATTGAACCCTGAAGCATATTAACCTGCCTACCATTAGAAGAGGGGAATAATTCTTCAAAGATATATCTTTCTACACTCCTAAAGAAACTAAAACAAATCTGTAATCCATATTCATTTCCCGATTTTCTCTCCATGCATTATATCCATCCATCCCTTGCATTTCTCCAGCTGTGTAATATTCCTATTACATGTATTCATAAAGTATTTTCCAATGCATTTATATAATTCACCATCTGGTTATCAACTATGGCTGAGCAGAGACTCTATATATGCTGACAGTCTCACTTTATAAATGCAAGTCAAAAGCTTAGAGCTTCTGAATATACAGTGTAATGTTATAATATAACTATTATACATAAATGGTATAACTAATGTGACTTTAAATATTCTCCTTCATGCCCAAAGCACCTTTTCTTATTAATTTCATGAAGCAAATTCATTTTAATGAAGCTAATTCATTTTAATATTGAGCCTATTGCAGTCTTCAGTCTATGAGTAGCCAGGAGGGAGGAGTCCAACATGGATATTTCAATTTTTGAGGGAACTTCAATTTTTCTTCTGAAAATTAATTTTCAAGACTTCTGGAATCCCTGGATTACAACATGTCATCCCTTTACACAAACAAACACCTTACAGATATCAGAATTTTTATACCTCAATGATCCTGAGGTGCGTCCATGATGGGATAGCCCTTTAGTTGTATGTTTTAACTTAAGCCGCACCCATGTTATACTCTGACTATCGTATAATTAATTTAAAGCCTGGTCCATGTGGCATACATATATTAATAACTCAGCCTCATGGATTCAATATGTTTGAACACTTCTCAGTAAATGCAAGCTGCAGAATTGAGGTAAGAAACCACACTGCATGACTATTTTAGCATGTTGACTTGAATCTAAAACCAGGCCTTATGACTATTACACTTAAAACTTTCTCCTGTCGATAATTCAACTAATAGCAAGCTGAACTAGTCCACCATATATTTTCCCCTGTCATCAGCCAATTTTCAACAACATTTTATGATATATCTTATCCTTAGACTGGTACAAGTTAATATGTTGTTAAGACTCGGATTTAGCGCTTCCTTCTACAGACACGCTTATGTTCCTTCTGCCAATGATCGTGCTGGCATTTGGTGGAGCAATAACTTGTATTCCAACAACAGTGGTAGGTGGCCTCAGACTCACACAGGTAACACTGAAACACATTCAAAAGCACAATTGAGTACAATTTAATAGTATTACTATTCCAGTAGAATATAGCCAGTACTTTGAGTTTAGAAAACAGCCTATTGAAATAAAATGGTGTTAAAAGTGCCAGAAAGTTGCATAGGTGATTTTTAAGGTCTAGGAGCTACATTTTCTCATCCTAAATACCATTAAAATAATCTTGGTGACAATAGATAATTGGCAACAATAGACAAGAATACAACCATAATTTCAGTAATTATTGACACTTGAAAAACTGTTAGTGGAAAAATGTGCAAGAAGTTTCATGATTTTGGTACTTAATTTCAATTTCTGGAACTACTGATTCTGTAATTTACATATCATTATGAAATAAAATATATAAATGTCACTGAAGATGAGAGTTAAAGCTACTGACATTTAATATAATTCAATAAATAACAGATATCAGAAATCAAAAGATAACCTTAGCCAAAATTGTGAGTATTACATGATGATGCAAAGAATTTTCTCTATCGGAAAATGAATGATTTTCACGTCCCTAGTGTTTTGTGATTGACCATTCATCTAATCAATTGTCTCTTTTTCCAAATATACGCAAAACAGAAAATTGAATTTCATGAAAATTCATAAAATTGATAATGAACCGACAATAATTTCTCAGAACTTTGCTCCAGATTGAAGATTGGTTGAGATATTTCATATACTTTTCTTTAATTGAGTGAGAGTATGATCTGATGTCTGGATTTCATATAATTTGAACATACTAGAACTTCTAAATGTCTACCTGTTATATAATTATGACACTTGGGTAAGGTCAAAGGTCATATGAAATTGATTTGTTAGATTTGATATTCTTAATTGTTTCCATTAATTCAATATTCAAATATTTGAAGCCATACCTTATAAAAATGAGACAAAAACAAGACATGACATTTATTTAGCCCCAAACCTGAAAATCAACCCCACACAAATTAAATTATAAATCAAACTAAAAAATAAAACCATGTCCAGTCATGCATTGATTCCAACGCATTCCTCCATTCCGTTATTTTCATTGAAACACATCTTATAAAAATGAACCTGTATCCCAAACAAACCATATAAAATATATTCCAATTAATAATACATGATGCATATTCAGTTATTACACAAACAAACCATGACATACAATGCTTATCTTAGCATACACTGGTGCTCTGACATATACATGGCATTTTCTCACCAAATGAAGCTGAATACAGACAAGACTTGTAGTAATATATTATTCAATATAATGATATCCATTGGCCCATTACTACCACCTTGTACCATCACCCATACTTCATTACTTACTGTTCAAACATTTCTGCATCTCAGTGAACCCGTGTGCTCAGGACAAAGTTATGTGTTAAAACAATCAAATGTGAATTTAAAACAAGTTAAGACAACCTGTGGTCACAACAAACTGACATACATACATCAAGATTACCATTCCCAAATACAAGATTAGACATAAAGGTGGGTGAAGTAGAATGCATTCAAATTTTATTAAGGTGGGCAGGGATTACAGTAAAACAATGTTTCAAAAGGTCAATGTCTGCTTAGAAACTAAATACATGTAAAGTCAGTTTCAGGACTGAAATAACCATTTGTTGGGAAAACCAGCCATTTCTGCAACTTATGTTATACTGCAAATTATATGTAAAATTAAGAATTCCTGAAGTCCATAGTTTTTCTTACTTTGATATCATTATATCTATGGTTACAACAATTGATTTAGGAATTCTTAAAAATAAAAAACCGTTTGAGTATTTCCATGGGCTTTTATTTGAAAGCCCATGGTATTTCCAAGTCAAAAATTCTCTTTCAATGACATTTAACTACTGGTTTAACAGAGTGCCTCATGATTTTCATTGGTACAAAAATGGATTTAAGCGTTTCTCTATTAAGCATAATTGAGAAATGGAGCCAGATTTTTCATTCTACTCAGCCCACCTAAATTGGAATACTGAGAAAATATCACATGTAGACTGACAAACATATAAAACTCATCAAACATATTAGTAGAATCATGTTTTGTTTATTACAACTATAAGGGGCCAGGTCAAAGCACCTATGTTTATTTTTGCAAAACTGATTTCATGAAGCCTCAGACTCCCTCCACTGTTTGCTACATTTTACTTTTTGAAAAACTTTATCGAACAGTTACGTTAGTTAAATCAAAGTTACATTATCCACTCAAAGTGCAATATTTTTTCTGGCTTCTAACCCATTCTAACCCATTCATATTTGACGAGGCCCCTAAAATACATCAAATATTCAAATCAATTAATAGAAACAAAATTAGTAAGAATGAAACAATAGAAATAAATATAGCACTCTGAATAGCAAAAAGGCAAACTAGACTACAATTTTATTATTGAATAGCAAATTAGACTTAAATTGTGAATATTAGTAAACTATACTAAAAATTTCAATTATAGAATAGCAAAGTAATCTAATCTACAGTTGTATTTATTAAAGCTTGTCTTATATGGAATACAAGGCATGGATACTCCAGCTATGCGCATCTGATTTACTCTTGTTGTGTATCCAGAACTTCACTGAACAATGGAGTAAAAGATGCAAATATATATTTTTTCACGCTTCGAGGCCAACATAATTACACATCCATCAATTAAATGAATTCACTCAAGGCAGGCTGAATATCAGCGTGGCCAAATTCATCCTGAGATCAATGAATCAGATGCGAGTAGGTAGTTACTAGTTTCACCACCAGGTGGCTTGTTCAGGGTAGATAGCATGGTGGGTATAGTAGAAAGTTCCCTTTAACTTAATATTCATCTGTTTTAGTCGTTCGATTTTCATATCACCCTTATATATCTAATAGTTATGCAAATTAAAATATGTCCAGTAAAAGAAAATTTTATCTGTCCAATACAAGAAGAGATATTTAACTTTTTGTGGTTTTATAACATGGGCTCTATGGGAATCTCTAATTCCACACTAAATTAGTACTAACTCCACACTGATAATTTGATTGCGGATTGGGGGTGTAGAAGTCACATTTTCAAAAAAAAATTATATATTCAAAGTTGATAAATAATTTTCAAAACCATATTTCTGAAAATATTTTTACTTGTAGATTTCAAAGACATCATGTTGACTGAATTTTGAATATTTGACATAAATCATATCTACTCGCATCTAGTCCATTACTGTATGTTTAAATTGTCTGCCAATAAGGAATGATACCCCGATGCAACCCTGCATATTTCACTCCATTGTTGAGACTAGTAATAATCAACCTACCCATTGTTTTTTCTTTGTAGCTGAGATGGCTTCTTTATGTTTCTGAGCCAATTTCTTCATCTCCTCCATGTATTCTATTTTACAACGCTCCTCAGTCTGGCGTTTGGCAATTTCGATCTCACGTTGGTTTTTAGAGACTGCACGTGACACGGCTTGTTGTTTGTCCTGCTCAAAGTCCTTCTTCAACTAAAACACATAGATGTACACAATCAGAGTATTTAAGCAGGAAACTGATTTTGTGTAAACTGAAATAAGTTTATTAGTTTTCCTAGATTTTAAATTCCACTCATTCTAAATCCCCAAAAATTAGTTTCCAATCTTTTTGTTTGTATTTTTAGAAAGAATTTTGACTTACAAGAGAAATTTTGTAAGTAAATGTAAAAGAATCAAAACAGTATTGAGCCTATTCTTACTCTATCAGACAACTCTTGGAGCCCCCTCTCTTTCTCATCATTAAGTTTTCTTTGCTGTTTTTCTCTCTGGTCCTTTAACATCTTGTTGTATTTTTTATCGCAATCACAATTTTTTCCAGCTGGTATTGATCCTGCAGGCTCAGCTGGAGTTGCCTCACTGTCATCAACTGGTTCTGTCTGTGCCGATCGTGACTTACCATGGGCAAGCTGGGAAGAAAAAATTACATTTTAAACAATACGTTTATTTCATTACTATACCAATTGCAATGTTATCCATCAACTGCATTTTATATCAACTTAAAAATAAAACATTACAACTTTTAATTTTTATGAACAATGTACTTAAGAGTGAAAATAAACTTAATTGATGACAAAACCCACAAGGTTTCCATCCACATGTATACATGGCAATACATGGTTCAATAGTCATTGCAGATGGTTATAAAAACTGTCATAGTTTGTTACAGATGTTGACCACCAATGCCATACACAAAAGGACGGACGGACCAACAGATGGACGGACCAACAGACAGACGCCTGGTCAATCCCATAGGCTCACTGTGTGAGCCAAAAAGATGTCATCACATTGTTTATTCAGCAAATGTTACAAAAGACACTGATACTGCTGATGCAGAGCAAAAACAGTGGTGGCTTAAATTATAAGTCACTGTTTTATGGTGATGAATATATACATAATAAATATATATAAATGACATACTTTTTTAGATGTCTGTGTTTGTACATGAAGCCTTTTAGCTGGGTAAGAGGCAGAGACTTTATCCTCGCTAGATGTCACTAGCGATGACTCAGGGGTTGCGACTGGTTTCTCAGGAATTGACGTAACAGAGCTGGATATCTCCATGCTGTTAACTCTGTTCTTCTCACGCTTAGGTTGTGGAGAATCGGGAGTAGGTTGGGGTGATCCAGCCGCATGAAACGTCAAATCTGGGGCCTCATCCGATTCTTCATCTTCTTCACCATCTTCCTGTTGTTGAAGAGCTCTGGCACAGAGGGCCTGATGACGTTGCAGTTCCTCGCAAGACTTGATGAATCCTTGCGTGCGTTTTGCGCCAATCTCCCTTACACTCAAACTGATTGGTTTGATGGCAGTCTTGGGAAGGTTTGCTCTGATGGTAGAGACAAAAAGATCATCACAAGATACTTAAATCATCACTCAATCATTTGATATCATGATTTCAAATGCTATTTCCTGGACGGGAATTGAATATGGGCTTTATACTTTGGTCAGTATGATATTGTCCTTGGTCCCTCAGGAAGTAACATATTGCCACTCAGTATAAAACCCATATCTAATGCCCCCCAGTAAATAACTTCTATGTATATCATCATATAATCTGGTATAATCTCATGAGAGTTGATCCTCTAAAATTATTATCAAACTCATGAAACCTGTGAGCTATTAAGGCTATACACCTACCTCTGATGGAGAGCCCCAAAGAATCTAACATCATACATATTGCCTTCTATCTTCATGACTTTGGCAGGCCAGTGACTGAAGCCTTTCTGCTTGGCCCATACTAGTTCATGTGGTGGTGACTGGAAAAATACATAAATATTAGGTTCGAAATGTAACATCATCAAATTTAACATCTAATTGTATTTTTTACGCATTACTATGTAAAAATTCCAAGTGGATGTGACTTGTTCGGAAAAAATATGTTCCAAAAAACCTTGAAAAAATTGTAGATATTTCAATGTAAATTCTAGCAGTTACTCTGATTTCAAGCACAATATCAAACATCTACCAGATCACATCAATCGATCATACAAATTACAAAGTTATTTAAAAAAACAGAGTTGCATTTTTGGGTCACCCTGTATTAAACTGTATATATACAAAAACCTTTTTTTCAATTCAACCTATATTCATATATATTCGGGTAGCGTATTACGGTAATATGTTAAATCTTAACATTTTGTTTTATATTCGGGTACATGTACATTTTGAATCGATTAGTATGACGTAATATTGTATTTATTCTATTGTTATGTAGTGCTTTATTTATTAGTTCAGTTTAAAAAAGAGTTGATAAAGGTCCCAGAAGGATTCAAAATGTACTAAAATATAAATTAAGGTTGTGAATTTTGTACATAATAAGGTGTTTACTCACACATGGCTCAGCGAACCAGTTCTTTGGCTTAGCATTACTGAAGTAATAACAATCCTTGCACTGACGGATCTCTGCCAGCTGAAACATTGATATTTACTACATATAAATTGAACTAAAATCTCTCAGGTATGGAACTTAGCACTTAAGATTACCAATATACAAAATATATACATACAGAGGAATCATCATAACTAAGCTTATCAATTGTACCAAAAGTGAAACTGGTCACAATTTCATCCAGAGATGCATTATTTAAAATACTGTACAGAAAGAAAGCTATGATAATTATACTAATATTAAGCTTCTATAGTTGATTTTAATTATTCTTGGCACACAAGTTCTCAAAATAAAATACAAATTCCATATTCACACGAATAGAGAACACCAATACAGTGAACATTATATGAAGTAAAGGGCATCATACTTAAGACAGCAATATACACGTATTCCTACAATGTTCAATATGGACTGATAAAAAGGCTTTTTCATTGTTTTATATTTCTGGCCTGTACCTAAAATTGACAACTGTCGCATAATTGTATATTGCTCTACCTTTCTGGTGGTTATCTAATCAAACAAAAAGTTAAAGCATTTTTATCAGTTCTCATTGGACATTCTGTACTACTGAAACTATCTGTGTCAAAAAATAGAATATCTGAGAATGATTTTTAACGACAATAATGTAGCGCGAAACACAATGGTACAATCATTAGGGAGAGGGATTTATATTTTAAAGCTTTATATCTGAGGTATACTGTACAAAATAATTTTTAATGTAAAGTGTTGATTTGCAACAGAAGGCAAATTATGGCCTAACATCTTGTAATAGCAGGAATATTGTATTTAAAATATCCTATAGTTGTTTCAAAATATTGGAATTACTCCTTGGATAATACAACATTTGCAAACATAATTCCAATTAAATATCTTGAACCTAATATAGGATAAATCTATACAGAAATACAATTAAGATGATACTAAATAACTTAAAGAGGCAGCAATGGATAGAGAGCACAAACGGAAGCAATATTCTATCCTTCTATTCTTTGAAAAATATCTTGAAATTTGGAATTTTAGAATATATATGTTTTTGATGAGATGATATAAGATGCAGGAATGAATTAGTCTAAGAAATGAAATAAGATATATTCACTTTCCAAAATCTTTGTTAGATAGCCTAAAATCAAAGCAAAGCTGATGTTCTTAAAAGCTAAACTCAACTTGTCTCTTAGGTCTTTGTTGCCCCTTTAAACATATACACACCTCAAGAGGAAAACATTGTAGGCGTTGTTGAAAAATACACCTATGTTTTAGTGACTAACATGTATGCTAGAAACGTAAAGTAACGAACTAAAGTACAAATTGTACAGGCTATTTCAAGAAAGATTAATTCGTCAAACTGACATCTAATTAAAAAAGACACAAAATTGGTATTGGATGATTGACAACAAAATTTGGGTAACTTTATTTGATAATACTAATATAATGAAATGTGTAGCATGTGGTGCATTGTTTTTTTAGTATTTTGCAACCAAAGTGCGCATATACTGTGCTGCAAGGTTTATGATATAAAATAACTTTGATATAAAATTCATATGATACAAAATGATTGTGCTTCAAATGATTGTAATACAAAATGATGATGATACAATGATGATTATGCGATTGTGATATCAATTGACTGTGAATAAAAATCATTTCTGTGATATAAGTGATTTAGACACAAAATATATTTATATTTAGATGAAGCAGAGTGTTGATCTAGATAGATTTGCTCCCTGATCCACATGATTGTGATGATGCATACAGAATACTAATGAAACGATGTACCAGTACAATACATGCATCATGTCAGTAGGAAACAAAATAAGCATAGTGCTACTATTAAAAAGTGGCATGTGTATTATTCTTTAAAGCAACTGAATCAAAACCTCAATCATTTAAAGGGCCTCTAAATCATCTAAAACTACAATTCATTACACAATACCAGGTTATCAAATATCTGTAGAGAAAATATGATCCTTTTATACACTTTAATTCACATTAAATGAAGGTAGGCAGAGTAGGGTGAACTATCAATAAATAAACTTTGTACATTACATTAAATACTATGTCCACCTTAATAATAAGATTTCAATGGAGATGAGAATTAAAGGGAGATTACTAAATTACTAATTGCTATTGCTAACTCATGTATAGTTTGCAGCTTTGAAAATGTCTCATGATACACATTTCTGTGGAAATGATACTAAACGGCAGATTTAGAGATATTTTTCGAATGGAAAAGTCACTTTTATTTCATGCTATATCATTGCTCATTTCATTTGCATCATGACATGAATACAATATCACTGTTGCATATCAATATTCATCATGATGTATTGAGGGTCCCCTATATAGTGAGAATGAAACGTGGAAGGTGAGGCCACAGGCAACATGCTACTCTACAGTACACAGTGACGCGCTCAACTCATTATGTAACAATAGCAAGCACGTCCCAACTTACGTCATATTTACAATCGTAAATCATTGCATCAGCCAGCATGGCTAACTCTCCATACTCTGTAAAGAAGAACAATTTTATACACAGTGTTATTAATCCTTAGCTTATGGAACCATTACACTGTACAAATGACACGCTCGATGGATTTCAATTGAAGTTTTCATCGAATATAAATGTAGTTTTTCTATGGTAAGTTATGAATCAGGAAACTGGGAAATAGTTGCTGAAATGTTGGGTCTAGAGTTTTATTAATCTTTCCTTGAGATAGAGGCTTTTCTTGTCTACAGCTGAAACCCATGTTGTAACCACATGTCATTTATACATTGTGAAGGCTCCTGTCAGGTAGATTTCTAGTAGAGTCATGACTTGGTACCATGGAGATATGACAGAGTGCCTGTCTTCTTAAGTAAGCTTAAAGAAAGGCAGATAGCAAGACCTTCTAAGATCTTCAGGAACAGTTTATCATCAAAGTTTGAAACTCAGAATCAGAACCAGACAGTCACAAGTAGTTTGTAATGTCTAGCCCAAGGTAACATTTGAGTTTTATTATTCGCTGTTCTTGAATATCAAGAATTTGGGAAAATTCAAGATAAGAATTGCAGAAAAGATAATAAAGAAGTACCCAAATTTCCAAACAACCACTCATCACTCTCTTGATCCTAAGACATGACATCTCTAAAAACCTACCACGATTGAGGTGATATTCACAACACTTACATCATATCTACAATCCACCATGACTGCATCAGCTAGTTTACTCAACTCATGTTTGGCTGCAAGAATAGGCTCAGAAATAGCACCAGGACACCACAGTACAGAATACACATAAAAATATATTTATTTTATCATAATTTTACACCAAGTCTGTGTGCCCCTTCCTCCTCAACCAGTTCAGGGCTACTACAGATTTTTATATTTTCCCTTTGACATTTTTCTGGTTACCGTTCAGAAAACACTTTTGTATTATACATGTAGTATAGTATTTTGTGAGTCCCTCCCCATCACATTATTAAAAATATCTGTGTCTCCTCTGTTTTCCCTGTCTCAGGGTTGCGGTAAATTTTAGAAATGAAACATTTTTTTAATATTCTACAAAAAAACACATTTAAAAATTACAGAATCACAGTAAGTCCCCTGAGCAGCCCCCCTCTCCCTCTTTCCAGTTGCTCAATCAAAAGCTTACAAAGTAAATACCTTTATACAGGGTGTCCAGACTTGGTGTATGATTAAATAAAAAATGGTGATTGTAATTAAATAAGCCTTGATAACTAAAGTATGTCACACTCACTGTAAGTTAAGGAAATTGCAATAGAAATAAAATGCTATCTTCAAGGAAAAAAGCACAGAATATTGAACAAATCATAAAGGTTTACATAAAGATTAAACGCATACATGTAGACTAATGTAAACAGCAAAATCGAAAAGGGAGTCTGCTTAGTTTGATTGCAAACAACACGAGAAGATATTGAAAAATTAAAAGAGCTATCCCTAACATTCAGACATCCAATGTTTTCATGAAAGTATCTACTTAAATTTACTACATGGTTCCTATTTAAATTCTACACATTATATTATGCAATGAAATATTTCAACAGGCACTTATTTCCAAAATTTGAATAATCACCAAGTAAGAGCTAAATTTATGAATTATTAGCAGGATTCACCTGTAATTATACATTCTTTGTATCTGATCTTAAAAAACAAAACAAGAAATAGCAGAAATAAATAAGATAGAGCCAACATACCTCCATAGATGAGCTTTGTGTTGTGTAGGACAGTCTTTGCATCTCCCAGGAACTCAGGTAAGTACCTGTACATTCTGTCCTTTGTCTTCTGCTCCATTGTGTTCAGATCCATCAGCATAAAGAGGAACTTGTGGAATCTTTGGTCCTCCAGCTCTGAACCCATTCTGTGCAGTTCCTTGGTCTAAAATATTAAATTTTGGCATGTTTGTATTGATTGCAATAACACAAAGCTTTCATTTCACAAGATGGGCCAGAAATTAGCTTTACAAAGAAATATACCATTGATATCTATTAATTAAAATTAGTTAATGTGGTCTAGGGGAGAGGGACTAGAGCCCCTCTCTCCCCTTAAGTAATGTCTTTTTGGAAGTCTTAGGTCTTAATAACTAACATCTAAAATGTAGACAAATGTTTTCTTGTTTATATCAACAAAAGCATACCTTTTCTTTTAATCTTTTCACCACATAGTACAAAAGTTTGTTTATTTCTTTACGGGATATTTTTCCTTTTCTTTTGCTGGCCTAGAGAAAAAATAAATCATTACATTAGCACAGTGTACCAATAACACTGCTCATCAGTCAGTTAGTTACTCAGAAAACTAGAAGGGTTAGCTGTATGATTATGTACAGATCACTGTATGAAAAATGCAAATTAAAGATTTCATATTATCTAACCTAAATTCTTAGCTACAGTGCGCAGAATCAAAATAATCAGGCAAGGCTTGTACATGAACCTTAACAGGGGAACATTTTCATTCTAGCATTCATCAACAATTTATTGATATGACAAAGTTCAAGATAAAATCACTTACGTCAATTTCCTTGCAGAGGGTGCACTTGAAGGTGACTCCTGACCAATCCTCCCCTGTACATGAGGTATGGTAGACTCTCCAGCAGTCGGAGCACTGGAGGACCTCCCCTGTATCATGGCACTCAAAACAATACCAATCGTGGCTTCCAAGCTCAGACTGGAAAATAAATTGTTCAAACTTGTAAAAAGTGCTGTTAACTTAAAAATTAAGATACGATTTCGAGCAAATTGATATTGATATTGAGCAATTGTTAAAAAGAGCTGAAAATATGACCTGTCAGCAATTACTAGACATTATTTTTGACCAATAGACTTAGCTGCCTGTACAATTTCAAGCAAACTGATGCAATACATTTGGATTAATAACACAAAAGGCAGTATTTTGAAAACAAAAGTGGTGGTCATGGTTTTATCAGAATAGAACAATTAAAAGTTGAACACTCAGATTGCATCAAATAATGTATTCAGAAAAAAATTTCCCCCCAAGATCATCCCTAAGTGGGCGTACCAACTCAAAATATAGCCCTACGCCCATGATAGTTCACAACTACCAATCTCAGCCTCAGACTACCAGGCATCAATGGGTCACTTACCACAGAAAAATCTGATTCTGGTAGTTTATATCCCTCCTGCTCTATGCCTGTCTTAACACCCTTAGATCCAATCATTTTATAGTTCATCACAAGACCATCTTTTACGGCATAATCAAGCTCCGTTTCACATTCACTCTTTGTCATCTCATGTTCCCGCATCATATAACGACAGATCCTTTCATTGTTAGGGATCTGCTTCTGTTGTCGTATATAAATAATTGCCTTCCAGAATTTCTCAGCTATGGGTGGCTGGCACCATCTTCTCCTAATGGGACGCACCATTCTGGAACAACACAGACATTATGAGGAATATAACAGATACGATTTGCTTGAATCTAATGAGGTCAGGGTTACTAAATTAACTGTATTAACAGAAGGTCTATGCAGCATTTATGGAAAATAAAGCAATATTTCAAAAGTAGAGTAATAGTAGTATATTCCATGTATTTGGACGGAAATATGGTTTATTAAATTATTATACATGATTAGCTAATTCTGCTTTTAAAATCATCCATAGACACAGAATAAAATGATTACCTTGACCTTGGGGATGTATTTTAAGTGATTCAATGAAATAAATGCTGGAAATAATTTCTTCATAAATGATTAACATTCATCGGATTCATTGAAACAAATAAAATGTATTCAAAATGTCTTAATTTGTTCAATGTAATTACAATGAATTAGCAATGAAAAAGAAAACCATAATGCTACATGAAGTATGAAGCACTATTAGTTGTAAAAAATAATGTCCTTGCATCAACAGTTTCTTTTGCTAGAGCAATTATTCATATCTATTATTATAACCTAATCTAAAACAAAAAGTATGCCCATGCGCCACTACATTCATGTAATTACAATTTTGCATGTAAATATCCACTGTCTAAAATGTATCCCCACAAGTCAATAATATGCAAAACTTGTTTGTTCATATGTATGTAATATTGCAATATCGCATACATGGAAATAAAATAACCTAAAGAATTGTTCACAGAAAAACAAGTAGAAATGGCAAACACCACACATCTAACAAAAAAACAGACAGACTCATGTATGTATGTCTTAAAAAATGACACAAAGTAACTAATACACCTCAACCCAAAAAATCCCAGAAAACAATATTCAGCTATTATATGTTTAGGTGACAATACAAATTGCCCATCAAAACCATCCAAAAATCTAGCAATTGTACCTCTTGTCTTTAGTTTCAAGCCTATACACTTCAAGGCTGGGGATTTTCTCACATTTGACCATGGGTTTAAATGAGTCAGGGATATCATGTATATCTACCATACCACTCTTATTAAACCACTAGTGACAAACAGCCTAGCAAATAAAGATAAAGAAAGTATCTACAATGGAATAAATAATAATCTTACATGCAGTTAGTATACAGTATGTCTTTATAGCAACGCCATCTTTAAGATGGACATCTCAAATCAAAGATGTTCAACTACAATGGATTGTGTTGGATTATTGTTCGTATACCCTAAAATCCATTAGCATATAAAATCTGACCTAATTTGTTCACTGATATTTGAGATATAAAATGTGTTTATTGCAAAATATGGTGCCTCTTTTGAATTTAGCAGCCATCTTGAAAATTCATTCTTTAGCCATTAAGTCACCAGCACATAAAATCTGATCCAAATCTGAAAACTGGCATTTGAGTTATCAAAAATTCAATATTTCACAAAAAGTAGAAGCTCTTCTAAAATGAGCAGCCATCATAGAAATTCATTCACAAACATTTAAGTTCTATTCCCTTAAGGCATTATTGTACCATCTTGAAAATGTTGTTAAGCAGGGGTCATAAGGCATCAGCAATAAATGTTTAAAGAATTCATGACTCAAGAACTGTATACTTGAATTATCAATGATCAGATTTTTTACAAAATATTGCCAGAATTTTGATATGAGTTGTCATATTGAAAATTCATTCTCAAGCTGAGTTATTGTGCCCATAATCACCCATGCAGACAGATCGCCTAAAATTACATTCGTATGATGTGAGGTTCGACATTCACAAGGAAAGCAGAAACAATTTGTCACCCATCGATGCAAATTAATTTTTACTGCTTAATAAATGATGAATGACAGTCACATTAAGTTCTTTAAGTATGAGAATAGCATGTTGTCTTGATATTTTAAGGTAACTCATTCGAAAAATGATGACAGTGATTGAAATGACGATGTAAAGATAAAACCGCAATGAAATATTTATAGATTTCTTGGTCATATTGAATTTTTCAAAACAGAATAAACATGTATACATTTTTTTCTGTTTTGAAAAATTCAATATGTGATGTATATTTCTTAGTTTTTCAAAGAAATCTACAAACATTTCATTACTGTCTTATCCTTACATCATAATTTTGATCACAGCCATCACTTTTCATACGAGTTACCTTGAAATATCAAGACATCATGCTATTCTCATACATAGAACTCACTGTAACTGTCCTTGACCATTTATTAGCAGTAAAAAATCAATTTGCTTCATAGCTGACAAAATATTTCTACTTTCCCGATGAATGTCGAATCTTGCATCATTCAAACATCATACAAATGTAATTTTAGAAGATCTGTCTGCATGGGGTGATAAGGCATCAGTTTATAAAATCAAGCGAAATCGTTCAACCAGTATTTGAGTTATCTCCTAGACAGACAAATTAATGAGGTTCTCACCCCCTGAACTATGTTCAATGGGATAATAACAAGGCAATGTGTTTTATTTGTCTTTCCTTCAGTATGACAAAATGTCACCACCTGGTTGCTACAGATGCAAAATGCTGATATACCAGACATAAAATGTCACCATCAAAAATGTCACAACAATATGTCACCACTTTTTCTACAAATCCAATCAAGCCAATGCAGAACATTTTATCTTATTGAAACTGCTTGCACAAAACTTGTGTCAGCTAAATAATGCCGAAATTGACGCTGTCAGCTGGGTAAGAAAACTCATCCGTAAAAGAAGGCAGCATTAATGTGACTGCTTAATATGCCATTCCTCGGCTCTGAAAAGACTGATGGCACTTAATGCATTAATTTCTCTTTGGAAAGATTTATGAATTTGGGATTCTTACCCAATTTCCTATTTTTGGATTGCTATATGTTTTAGTGCTGGAGCTTATTTTCTGATTAATTAGAAAAACTAGATATTAATACACCAAGACTGGCATCCCACATTTTTCATTTCATTTCTAATAAACCAACGCTTAAATAACAGCCTTGATCAGAGATCATATTCATAAATGGAATATAATCATTTATGACAGTAAATTAGAATTAGAACCTCATTAAAATATTGTTTACACCAAACTGAAGAAACAATCCAAGATCATCAATATTTAGACAAGCAATTCTTTACATTGAGGTAGGCCTATGAGTTATGCAGTGTTGATCCATTGTTAAACGAAGTAAATTGATATATACTGTTCTAACTACTTGGTACATATTGGATATCAATAATTACCCAGGGTACCCATTGTAAAGATATACTTAACTCTCTGAATTTTATGGTTAATTTTTTGATTTTCATGAGACAAAGATCTTACTGACCTAAAATGGAGCTTCTGTGGCTTTTCAAATGGGAGTTAAAATATAAAATTAATGTTGGCTATTTATTTCATAGACTGAATATAGTGTAGTGACCTTTAGACTACTAGGTCTGATCTGATATTAACTCATCAAAAAATATATTCTTTAATTTCAGAGTTTAGATGACACTAAGCTGTTGCCAAGGGTAATCAATAACCTGCATACATATTTACTATTAGGTCTATGGATCCAATATTTTTTATTTCATTTATATTTATCATTTATATTTTATTTGAGGAATAGTTATACATAATATGTTTTTGTCTTTGCTATTATATTACTGGTATATTGATCACCTTTTTAAACCAAAATAAAAAACATTGAGCAAAAGATTAAATTCAATTTACGGGTAAAATATTTATTTTGCTAATATAAAGGCAAGGTCAACACTACAATGTGGTCTTGTACTCAAGTCTACTTCTTATAATCTGGAGTGAATGCAGGATTTATATATTTACTTCTATGATGGTGAATTCACTGATATGTCTGTAAATTTGCACATAATAAATTATCCATGTGACTTCTTGTTTTCTCTCGAGTTAGAACAAATCAAGTTAACCTAAAAGTCCTAAATAATACATGAAGTCATTCTGACCAAACTATTCCTGGAAAATGATGAGGCATTTTTTGAAGGAAATATTTCTGAATTCCTTCACTATCTCTATAAACAAGTCTTCAAAATAAATTACTGACTAAAGAAATGTCTTAGATTAAATTCTAATATCAAAAATTCAATGTGTAGTTTTTGAAAACTAAAATATTTCCAAAAAACCATATTTGATTATCTTTGGGCTAATAGTCAAAATGTTCATCCTTAATAACCCCAAAGTATATTTTATTCATAACGAGATGTAAACTACACTATCAAATATCAATAGCAATTTGCTTTTTAAGATATGTTACAATTACCAAAAAATCTGGGTGACTTTAGATAAAAAATATCTGGTTTTGTCATTGAGTTAACCATAGAGACTTATTCTTAATGATAGAGTAAGATACCACTACACAACAAGGGTACATTATTGTTGATGTAAAGTAATGAGCCGATCAAGCCAATATAAGGGTTTGTCTGACAAATCAAAGTTAGAGTGACCTTGCTGTGGTAAACTTAATCTTTTTACTTTTTTGACTAGCTTATCCAAATGTGAAGTATGAACTACTAAAGATAGTGTGGTCAATGTGGCTACCTACTCAGTATAAATAATTTATGTTTGAAAAAAGTATCACATAGCTCGGAAAAGAGGTTCCTGTAAACATTTCTTATGACTTTTAGCCATGGATTTCAAATATTGAGAGCAGCCCAATAACTTATCGAACTTGTCGACTACACTCCTATTTGTATGGTAAGGTTATAATAAATAATGATAATTATATATAATAATTATGTTTATCTAAGTTATGTTTATATCAAAAAGGATTGGCAGCCATTATTCAAACTCGATACTCTGCAGTGGAACAATTTAGTAAGAATATTTCAATAAGGTTTACTTTGGACCAAGTATTTCATTGAAAGACGTGGTCATTACAAATATTTTGGTAGTATTCAAGCTTCCTCAGCAGTTCTAGTCTTCATAATATGAGTAATATTGTTACAAAATTGGTCTAAGCCAGGCAACGGATTATTGAGTTTGTATAACGGCTTCCAATTCTCTTTGGTTTATATCTTGCAGATATCCAAATTTCTTGATTTTTTCATTTTTATGTAAAATTCCTCTCAGACTACATTATATCCTTTAATTCTGACATCTAACATTTTTTGAAAATTAGCTGAAAATGTCAGACTATAAGTCAAGTATATACATGTATGTTAAAATTGGTATTCAAAAAATATTTGTTTACGGGATTTGATATTCAAAGTGGCTGATGTTGTAAATTTATTTAATTAATTAATTACAGCAAAATTCAGAACATGCAGATTTACCTTAATAACTTTTCACTTGACAATATACTATGTTACTTTTTACATCATTTTATGATTTAATTATACCTTATTACCTAATTGAAGTCCCGGGATTGAAGTGTTAAAATGTTTATTTTTGTGAAGTTATGCTTTTTAAACTGATAATTTTGTACATAGAATTCATAACTGCCTGCAATTTCCAGAAGACAGTGTGTAAGGTTGACTGACTGACTTCTGGTCAGTCTGTCCAGGCTTTCAAGAGAAAGCCCATTGTTTGCCAGATACAGACTAAAATTCCTTTTATATCTGCCTAAGACTCAGATTTTAAAATACTGATTGCCCAACCCCTCAGAGCTGGGGCACACCATCTGCTACGTATTTTGCTGGTTAAAAATACACCAGTCCATGTCAAACAAGAAGTGCATTTACTTGAATTATTGCATGTAACATTGCTGGATGGACTTGCTTCCTGCGAAAGCTATGTGGATTCTGATATAATAGCTTTCCCAAGGCGCACTTGGACAGCTGAATGATAGTGACCTTTGAAACACGAATTAAGTCAACCAGCTGCTTACTTTTGGTCTAACTGTGTCTTACATCAGTATCATCAATTCGTGCAAGTATTGGAGCGCTGAAATACTTCTTTTTCAATCAAGACTTGTAAATTGTTCATTGAGTGAATTTTTTTTTCGACCCATTTCCAATATGGCGGTTTGCTAGGAGCAACGAAACGATACACAATGAATGAAATGAATTTTGAGAATGAGTTAAGTTCAGACAACCTCCGTAGATTTACAAAAATGTCCAAGCAGAAAACGCCATATTGGAATTTGGCAGAAAAAACATTCACTCCACTAACAATTACAAGTCTTGGTCGAAAAGGAAGTACTTCAGCGCTCCAATACTCGCACGGAAGGATGATGATGATGTATGACATAGTTAGAGAACAAAAGTAAGCCGCTGATCGACTTAATTCGTGTTGCAAAGGTCACTATTATTCAGCTGTCCATTTCTCCGTTCGAGAGCCATAAGTTTCAAAATCTAACATGGCTCTCGAAGTGAGTAAAGATGGACAATTTCCATACATCAATGTTTACAATACTGTTAGTGAAATGGTAAAGCGAAATCAAGGTTCAAATGACAAACAAACATACTGAGGCACAGTTTGTTGATTTGGTATAAGTTAGGGGTTGGTAGTGGTTGAAAATGAAAATAATGAATGCAAAACATGAAAACTGGGAATCAAATAATAATTTCGACAGATTTTGCTCAAGTTCGAGCTAATATCACCACAAAATGCATACCAAATTATGCACAGATATTATTTGTTTCTATGCTTAGTGTCTAATACATAGATTGCAGCTAATTCATGTCTAAATATCGCCAAAATGTGACTTACCTTTAAAAAATTCACAAAAGATGAAGATGGTTGTGTAATACGTCACATCGCACAAAACAATGACGTAAGCAAAACGTGCGTATATTTCTACACAAAACTTTGTGACGTTTTTCACAGGCACCTTGCAAAATAGGTCGTTTCAAAGTTTAAAACTCATTCTGTTGAAAATATTAATATTCTGAAGGTTCAAGATGGCCAGAATTGTGGAATGTGTACCTAACTTTTCAGAAGGCCAACACAAAGAGGTGATCATCGACGTATAATGATAATCTTGTCTCTGACTAAATATCTAAAAAATAATTCCAGCCTGAATTTTGAATCAATCATCAATTTCATTTGGAATTTCAGAATTCTGAACCAATTGACTCAATTAGTCAATACACTACTGTGACATTAACTTGATTTAATGCCGCCAACTCAAGATTTCCAGAAATTACAGGTGGTTGTCACTGCTTGGACTTACTCGAGTCTCTAGCTTACAGCTAGATGTAACTTCATTGATTTCGTTTGACTCGTATTTCGTATGTAAAAATTGCTACACGCACCTAGAAATCATTTTTAATAAATTTTATAAATATTTTTAAGAATATTAATTATATTTAGGATGAAGCGTTGCTTGTCTGTATTTCAAAATTTCTTTTCGGAGTTTGACGCATGGTGAAATTTACTCGCTGTAGCTAAAAATCGCTTCCAATTCTGGACGTGAATAAATGGAGGAAACTTTGAAATTATTCTCGCTTAAAGAAATCAAATATAACAATAGATTCAGACGGAGATGTGTGCTGATGTATCTCAAATCTATACATAGAGGTATATTTCATATTATTATGCCGTATTTACTGTGCGTGTGACACAATGATTTACAATATTTACAATACCAAGGCAGCTCAATCTTTGTACTCAAAGCCGGAATATAGAGAAGGCTTTGGACCGAAGTAAGCTTGGACGGTCAATATGTAATGACCCTTGATAACAAGTTGCTACTACGGCCCAGCTGTAGTGGCTTAAGCCCCTTTAGCTCAGTCGGTAGAGCATCAGACTTTGGATCCAAGGGTCCTAGGTTCGATTCCCACACGGGGCATTGAATTTAGCACGCTTACTTTCAATTTCTTTATCTGGCTTGTTACACTATGCTCGTTAGTTGTTAGTTAATTAGTTATTCCCCTGGGGCGCCCTCGGGTCATTACATTGGTGTCAGATGTGGGATCAAAGCATTGGTTGTATCCTTTGCGCCCGTGTGTGTGTGGTAGTCACTGCTAGGAAAGCAGGGCTGACCACGAGGGCGTGGTCCTTTCAAAGGGGGAGATAGTGTAACGACCCTTGATAACAAGTTGCTACTACGGCCCAGCTGTAGTGGCTTAAGCCTCTTTAGCTCAATCGGTAGAGCATCAGACTTTGGATCCAAGGGTCCTAGGTTCGATTCCCACGCGGGGCATTGAATTTAGCACACTTTCTTTCAATTTCTTTATCTGGCTTGTTACACTATGCTCGTTAGTTAGACATTCCCCTGGGGCGCCCTCGGGTCATTACAAATATAAAAGATGTTATGATTTGATTGGCTAATGAATGGCTCACACTCACAGCCCTTAATATTTGACTGGATAATTGAGATAATGAAAAATGAGTTGGTAGGCACGAAACTGAGTTGATGTGTAACAGAAAACAAAATGACAACGCTCGAATTGAGATGACATGGCGGTAGAAAAATAAAGGATGCGCTAAAATACTGAACGCCGATGTAACTGCTACGTTAAAATTGCGAACCTCTGGTTCGTTACATTATCTGAGTATTGAGATGGTTATTGAGATGACCTGGACAAAATACGGAGGTGACAGCACTGTGTCTCAATTTTTGGCCGATAGTTGGGGGGGCACTGGTTTTATGGTCCTGGACTATCATTCACCTTAAATTATTGCATACTTTTTAGCTCACATGGTTGAGCTATTGTTGTCATCCACTTGTCTGTCTGTCTGTCTGTCTGTCTGTCTGTCTGTCTGTCAACACATTGGTAGCTAATTCGAAATCCTCTCAAAAGCTCGCCTAGCTTGTTTCAAAATGGCAGCCAAATTTATTGCGTAACACTCAGGTTTTCAGCTCTTTTTTGGTTAAAACTCCACACGTTTTTCACCAATTTGCTTCAAATTACAGCTACCTTAATTTAGACGCTATCAATGGCCTACAAGTTTCGGCGAAACAAGTCGCAAACATTCAAAATGGCCACTCCTTCTGGTTTTCAGCTCGTTTTTTGTCATGACTCCACAAGTGTTCCCTCAATTTGCTTGAAATCATACAGGTACCTTTATTTCTAGATTATCAACAATGTCTACAAGTTTCTTTCAATATGGCGACCATTTCTTTTTAAGAGCAACACCATGTGAGCCCAGATGGTACTATTTTTTTTATTGATATCTTTGATGATGGATGAGATGACGGACATGGGACTGAGATGAGGGATGACATATACATGTACTAGATATATGCATATACTGATATACTTTATTGCATCCTACGACCTCCAATACATTTGTGGTCCACAATGTAAAGTGGTCGTAGGATTCAATTGACATTGAACTGACTTGACAGGCAGCTTTGGTATCTTCCGAAAATAGTATTCAGTTGACTGCAGAATACATGTAGTGCTTATGAATTGCAGTTTGATTTAGGCAAGCCCAGTTTGGTGTTTGGTTGGCAGGTGGTGACATTTTGCATGTTATGCCTACTTTTTACATGCAATTCCAGTAATTATCCCAACGAACGAAGTTCGGTAGGGATATAGTGAAGCCCTCCGTCCGTCCATCTGTCCGTCAGTCAGTCAGTCAGTCAGTCCTTCTGTCCGGAAGATAACTCAAATACTCGAAGACGGATTTTCTTCATATTTAGTGGAAAGATGTATATTGGTGAATAATTTTACGTAAAAAAAAAATTTTCAAGATGGCCGCCGCTTTAAAAATGACGGGACTTTTTCGCAAAAATCATAAATTTTTCATTCTGAACCAAAGTGATTAATATTATTGTTTGAAATTTTGGTAGTATATTCACAACATTTATCTATTTCACATATATTCCGTGTTTTTCATCCTGACCCCCAGGGGCCGTGTATGGGGGGACAGGAAAACAGAAATTTTCGCTAATTTTTAGATCTTTCTAAAGTATATCTTTATTATACTCAAATGAAAGGCAATTAAAAGTAGATTGCAAATATTGTATCTTTTTTTCTGATTCGAGCCTTGTAGAATTCAAAATGGCCATCTAGTGTACAATTTCGCAATAATTTTTCGATCCCTTCAAAGTATGGCTATATTATACTCAAATTGAAGGAATTTTGGAGTAGATCACAATTATGGTATTATTTTTCAGATTTGTATCTCAGAAAATTCAAAATGGCTGCTCTGCAGGAATTCGCAATTCTAAAATCTAATTTTTTCAATTTTAACCAAAGTAATGAGTATAATTGATTGGAATTCGCTAATTGATATTTTGTTCATTGGGATTTGCTACTCTGCGGAGTTGCCGTTATCTAGTTAATACTATGATATGAGAAAGGTGCCAGTTGTTTGTGAAATTCCTGATTTATGGAACATAGGTATAGCTATGATTCTATATCAATGTTCTATACTTATATTCTTTATTTCTTAGGTTATTGAGGCTATTGCTACTGCTATTGCTGCAACCGAAGGCTGCAGTCTACTAGATGTTGACCCTGGAGTATCTACCAATAGAACTGTTTATACTTTTGTTGGGTCTCCAGAGCATGTTGTACATGGGGCCTTGGCTGCAGCACGGGCAGCATCACAGCTAATAGATATGACTCATCATAGTGGTAAGTCAATCTTTGAAATTTAGTCCATGCTCTCTTTTTAGCTTACATGGTGCGAGCTATTGCAATCACTCACTTAAATGTCTGTCTGTCTGTCCGTCCATCTATTTGTCTGTCTGTCAGAAATAATGGCACTTTTTATAGCCTCTGCTGATACTTTTCTGGAGTTTTGAATTATTTTTGTTAATTATCAATTCAAAAAGCCCCCTACAATGTATGTCTACAGGTTTGAAAACTCACCTATTGTGTCACTACCAGAAGTGGTGACATAATGCTATTAACATTTTTCGTGGATGGTGTTTGGAATTTGATGATTGGCATCTGATCCAAATGACATTTTGCATGTTTATGCCTTGTTTTCAAAATGTCCACCACTTAATTCTATTAGGAATATATGTTTCTCCAATAAATACTTGTAAACAATTAAAAATTCAAATATTTGCTTAAAACGACTTGTGTTGTTATTCCAATATAGGTAGTCGGAATGATGGCTCAAAAGTGCCAGGAAAGTACTTTTTAATGTACAGTTGCAACATACTCTCGAATTTGGTACCGTTGGAAAGCTTGTGGTGCCTATATTTGAGATCCACTTGTTAGCAATTACAAAATGTGGGCCGAATGTGTCTAAAACGCCCGTTTCCATGGTAACCACAAAAATATGGTGTTAATAAGCAGAAAATTGTTTTTATGCATAACTTTACTAATATTGTTCTGATTTTAATGAAATTGGTATCAAATTAAAGAGAATTAAAAGTCCCATTTTTGAAAATAACATTTATGCAAATTAGCTCATTTGCATATTTATTGTGACGTCATCACTGCATTATTTTGCGTATTTTTTGATAAACTAGTATATTTATTTCAGTACAGTAATATACAGTTGCAACATATTCATGAATTTGGTACCGTTGGAAAGCCTGTGGTGCCTAGATTTGAGATCCATTTGTTAGCAATTACGAAATGTGGGCCGAATGTGTCTAAAATGCCTGTTTCCATGGTAACCACAAAAATATGGTGTTAATAAGCAGAAAATTGTTTTATGCATAACTTTACTAATACTGCTCTGATTTTAATAAAATTGGTATCAAATTAAAGAGAATTAAAAGTCCCATTTTTGAAAATAACATTTATGCAAATTAGCTCATTTGCATATTGATTGTGACGTCATCACTGCATTATTTTGCGTATTTTTTGATAAACGAGTATATTTATTTCAGTACAGTAATGTACAGTTGCAACATATTCATGAATTTGGTACCGTTGGAAAGCTTGTGGTGCCTAAATTTGAGATCCATTTGTTAGCAATTACGAAATGTGGGCCGAATGTGTCTAAAACGCCTGTTTCCATGGTAACCACAAAAATATGGTGTTAATAAGCAGAAAATTGTTTTATGCATAACTTTACTAATACTGCTCTGATTTTAATAAAATTGGTATCAAATTAAAGAGAATTAAAAGTCCCATTTTTGAAAATAGCATTTATGGAAATTAGCTCATTTGCATATTGATTGTGACGTCATCAATGCATTATTTTACATATTTTTTTATAAACGAGTATATTTATTTCAGTACAGTAATGTACAGTTGCAACATATTCATGAATTTGGTACCGCTGGAAAGCTTGTGGTGCTAAGATGTGAGATCCACTTGTAAGCAATTATGAAAATTGGACCGAATGTGTCTAAAATGCCCATTTCCATAGTAACCACAAAAATATGGTGTTCATAAGCAGAACATGTTTTATCATGCATAACTTTACTAATATTGCTCCGATTTTGATGAAATTAGTATTAAATTAAAGAGACTTAAAAGTTCTAGTTTTGGAACTAACTTTTATGCAAATTAGTTTATTTGCATATTGATTGTGACGTCATCACTCCATTATTTTGCATGTATTCAAATAAATGAGTATATTGATTCAGTATGGTACTGTACAGTTACGATATTTGAATTAATTTTGTACCGTTAGAAAACTTATAATGCCTCCTCACTCGCTCGTCGCAATGCAGATTCGCAAGCGCAACACAACGCAACGCAATTTTTGAGAATCACAATCAGGATTTGTATCAACCCCTAAGCCTGTATGCGCAACACAATCGCATATTTGAAAGATGTTCCAATCGCAACTGGCCAAAAGGTTGCGATAGCTCTTACCCTGCCGCACATCAATCGCAAATATCACTCATCCAGTTTAAGACAATTGTTATCTATTTCAAATGTGTCAATCTAGGAGTTTCTTTATTGATTGCGTAAGTATGTTCTTCTCTTAAGGTGACGTGTAATAAAAAGTTAGTTTATATTTTTTGAAAGTGCTTCAATCAATCTGATTGCAAATCCAAGAAAACGAAACACTACATGTATGTTCATTTTGGCATCGCTAAAAATGGACATAACTTTGATGTTCTTTGCCACAGTCAACTTACGAATGACAAATAGGAACTCATTTGGAATAGCCCCACTATTATGTCAAGGTCACTGTTCTACAGCTGGTTGCCGAAATTGAAAGCCCATGGTTAGAGTCATTCTTAGTGAAGCTGTTTTCTCTAAAATTCTCTAATATTGCAGGTGTTTGGGCATTCATTTGTGGATGAATACAATCGTATTTTATTAATTTGCATAGGGAATCAAGATTCAATGTAGTTTAGCTGAAATCGGGGATTTATCGAAAACAAATGAATCTTGGCAACCATCTTGAATGAAGAGTCATCCAGCTGTGGAACTGTGACACGTGTGAAGGTAAAGTATATTGTAATTTTCGATAGGCACTGACTTCAGTGAATCAAGGTATTTCTATTTCAAGGCATTACAAGTATTGTAGAGATCTGTAATAAGTAGAAAATACTTGTATGTATATAACATATAGGAGTTTCACTTAATGACACACTTGGACAAGGTCAATTTGAATGGATTCTTTCCCTCGTAATAAACGTTCATGAGGGTATTTTGAAATAAAAATTGAGCTGATTACATATGTTATAATAAAGGATATTTTTGGAGGGTTCTGCTTTTGGGTCACAGTATTATAAGTCAATTTTCAAAAGTCTGTAAGTTATCAGCTCCTTTTGTATCAACCAGAACTTGTTGTTATCCTTAAGTTGACATTTTCTAGCGAGAAATCAGAATGGCGGTTTGGAAAGAAATGTACAAAGTAGGCTAGAGTAGTATAGGTCTTTTCTTGTAGAATTACGGAAAATACCGAGAGGTAACCAGTGCCTAAATGTAGGTTTGACTGTACCAAAGGTGTACTAGCGTTACGAGATGGCTGAGAGTGCACCATCTATGGAATACCCTCGATCGTGCCCCCCTCCCCATATATTGTGAAAAGGTGTTCGCGCCTACACGTTTATCGGTTGTCTATCTGTATTCTGAGGTCATTATTGTCTCATTCTGACTGTGCTGACGACTTCCGGAATCCCCCGACCCATTCAAACACGAGTGATATGTATGACGATGGTAATGTCACCCGACAGCGCCCCTGGGAAGGGGCACATTTGAAAAATCTTGAAAAGTTAAGTTGACTAGAGTATGGCTGTGTAGCATTTCAAATAAATTGGAATTGTGAATAGAAGACGTAGGAAAGGTGCCCGGATGAGCTTATTTCCATATCGAGTTTATGGACGGCCCGTGGGTCGGGGTTTGGAATAGGTTAAAAATTGAAGATAAATAAATATAGTCGTGTTGTATATCAAACGAAAGCGCATCGTTCATAGATTAGATATTTATTATTACTTGTCAATCCACGACCCTAGCATAAAGTGTTAGCCCTCACAAATCAAATCGGGTTTGAAATTGAATATTTAGAAATAAAGACATATAGTATATCAAACAAAGGGTCATAGTGTAAAGAATAACCATTTGTAAATACTTGTCGACCCATGGACCTCGCAAAAAAGTTAAGTCCCTTGCAAATATTTTATCCTAAGTTCTTAATATTTTGGGAAGCCTGTTCACTATTGTTTAAGATTATGTAATGTATACTATTGTTCATTAGCATGCCACCTATTGTTGAGTAGCACGTTCACTGTTGTTTATTAGCTTGTTCACTATTCTTAACTAGGTGTTTACTATTGTTCACTAGCATGTTCACTAGCATGTTAAATTATGTCCACTAGCATGTTCACAAAAATTCACTAGCATGTTCACTTATGTTCACTAGCATGTTCACTTATGTTCACTAGCATGTTCACTTATGTTCACAAGCGTGTTCACTTATGTTCACAAGCATGTTCACTTATCTTCACCATTGTTCACTAGCATGTTCACTATGTTCACTAGCATGTTCACTATTGTACACTAGCATGTTCACTAATGTTCACTAGCATGTTTACTATTGTTCACTAGCATGTTCACTTGGCTACATGTTAAGCTACCATGCTACATGCTATGTTACAAGTAATGCTACTAGCTATGCTACCTGTTATGCCACCATGCTACATGCTATGCTACAAGTTATGCTACCATGCTACATGCTATGCTATATGTTATTCTACTATGCTACATGCTATGCTGCATGTTATACTACTGTGCTACTAAATATGCTACATATTATGCTACCATGTTACATGCTATGCTGCATGTAATGCTATCATGCTACATGTTATGCTACTATGCCGCATGTTATGGTACCATGCTACATGCTATGCTATATGTTATTCTACTATGCTACATGCTATGCTACATGTTATGCTACTATGCTACATGCTATGCTACAAGTTATGCTACCATGCTACATGCTATACTAAATGTTTTGCTACTATGCTACATTCTATGCTGCATGTTATGCTACCATGCTACTAACTATGCTACAAAATATGCTACATGTTATGCTACTATGCTTCACGATATGCTGCATGTTGTGCTACTATGGTATTAGCTATGCTACATGCTATACTACAAGTTATGCTCCGATGCTACATTCTATGCTGCATGTTATGCTACCATGCTACATGCTATGCTTCATGTTATGCTACCATGCTACATGTTATGCAACAAGTAATGCTACC